AATGCTGTTAGGCATGTAGGGACTTGTGGTTTGTCATTATATTGTTACAGTTGTAATTATAATAATCATTATCAGTATTGTTGATAACATTAAACAAATTTCGGTAAACAAAACAGCAACAATAAACAAATAATATTCTTAAACAAGTACAACAGTAACAAATGAAATCTGAAGGAATGGGTGCGTGTGCAGGCTACGAAGGTTGTAAACTACCAAAAGTTTGTGTGGTGGTAAACAACGAACCGAAATGTATCTGTGAGGAGTGTGAATCAGAATTGAATGAGGTGTGTGCATCGGATGGCATTACCTATGCGAATCCGTGCAAAATGAGGCTGGAGGCTTGCAAAACCGGACGAAATATTTACGAGAAATATCACGGTATTTGTGGTGAGTAGCTATGATCAACTCTGCTCTTATCCAGTACTTAATGATGCATGCATGCCTCACCTGATGCCGGTAATTGATTCCAGGAGAGGCGACTTAAGTCGACTTTACTTGTCACTAAGCTAAACCACAAATATTCATTCCCAGTTCTCTATTTTATTCATAAACGTACAGTAACATGATTTTTTGTGCTTCTGGCGCCTTTCTGGGGATATTACGACCCCAATATTTATGAACGCTGACAGGCTTTAAGTCGAATAGAATGGCTTAAACTTGATTTTCATTTTTCTGTCCATATATTTTTTGAAAAACGACGTATAATCAAAAGGAACTTAAGTCGAAACGACTTGACCCGAGGTATGCCTATATGATAACTCAAAATAATAACCATAAACCAGCGACAACAACACTTTTCAGAAGGATGTGTGAATGTACGTTGCGAATTCTACGCTCAATGTGTATCGGATGAGTACGGTAATGGAATCTGCAAATGTCCAAACGATTGTGATGCATTACAATCGGCAAGCAGTCCGCACTCGACGACGAAGGTGTGTGCCACCGATGGACTCACGTACGACTCCGAATGTGCGATGAAGCAAGCCGCATGCAAACAGCAAAAATTCATCGTGATTGCGTTTTATGGTGCATGTGACAGCTGCGCGAATGTTGTTTGCCCTTATGGACAGCTCTGTCAAGATGGCCTTTGCACTTGCCCTCAGCAATGCCCCAGCTCTGCTAGCTCTCAACAGGTTATCATTCATTATTATTAAGAAAATAATTAACTGATTAATTAATCGTTTAATTTATTTCTTTATCAGTGATTACTGTTTATTGTTTATGCGGTATAGTAATAATTATTGTAAGGTATGCGGCGAGGATGGCATTGTGTACCGATCAGAATGTCATCTGCAAATGGCTGCATGTAATCTTGGAACACCCATTCGAATGATGCCTTTAACGCATTGTCGAGCGCTTCGAGCTGGAGGTATGTAATCAAATAATATTCATTTTCACATAATCGTTTTAATATTTGCAAAATAAAATGCCCAATTCATAAGCATGAAGATAATCTGCTTTGTAATGCTGTTATTTTACCGTATAATTCCGAATAAGTGATACGGGGCAACGAATCTATACCTTGATGNAGCTCTGCTAGCTCTCAACAGGTGATCATTCATTATTATTAAGAAAATAATTAACTGATTAATTAATCATTTAATTTATTTCTTTATCAGTGATTACTGTTTATTGTTCATGCGGTACAGTGATAATTATTGTAAGGTATGTGGCGAGGATGGCATTGTGTACCGATNTTTTTATAGGATTTTACGGTATACCTTTATGCTTATTACTGTTATTAATCCTTTATGATACTGTGTGCAGTGCTTGTATAATACTTTATGCTCGTATGACATAATACGCTTATATAATACAATTCTAACATAACAATCTGTCATGTAATCAGTTCTACTGATTGCAATTACAGTTTCAACAAACAGATTTCGTTGTTGGCCACTGAAATTCGCATTTGCGATGCCACTCACCGTAAAATCTCATTCGGTTTCTCCGAATCCTAACAATAAATAAAGCAATAATTGAAAATTCAGCCGTTCAATTGCTTTTTCATTAAACCACTGTTGAATTCGTTTATTCGTTCGTCATTTAAACGTGATCGTTTCATGTCTCATATCCTTTCTGTGGAATGCTAACAAACAATTGCAAACAGATTAATACCAATCTGATAATCGCTATTTTCATTGGTATGTTTATGTACTTATCTATATTCTTGATGTTCAATTACTCGCTCCGAACTCAATTAATCTCGGTTTCGAGTGAGCCACTTTATTGGGTTTGCTGAATTAACGCTTTGTTATGAACTGTTTTATAGCCCATTCCACTGGCTGATAATATCTTAATTGAATGTTTCATAAGTATTCACTCTGTTTTATAAGTAAGCATTTCGTTGTTTTGTTGCATTGTTCTATTTCTTTGTTGCCTGGCTTATTACTGGTATTAATCCATAACCGAGTAATTAATACGGTCATTCTACTCAGCTGAATCATTAATTTTATAAAGTCACTAATAGATCTTACATGGTTTCATGCATTGCTCAGAATGTTGCTTTNTTTTTTGAATTCCATACATTATAATGTCATCTCAATGATCTTCAGATGCGTATACAAGTGATCGCCACAATGAGATTACTGACACAAATGATATAATCGTGAGCTCTCTGTCTCGATTATCATCCTTATCCGTGTCAGTAGCATCCAAATCATTGTGTGCCACTCATCAGTGTGCGTTCGGTGGTTTTTGTATGGAGTTATTCGAGAACGGTTATGAGGAATGTATTTGTGATTTTAATTGTGATCATTCGAATGCAAAATACAATCATATCACCGGTGATATCAGCAGCCAGTATTCGCATGATAGCAGTGATAATGAGTACAGTTTCTGTGCCTCAGATCATAATGTCTACACGAGCACATGCTATATGGACTTAGCATCTTGCCTGCAGCAAATTCCCATTTATCAAATTGCACCAATTTATTTGTGTCATTATTCCGGTACTTTCATTATTACCGTTATTATTATTATTAGGAGTATTGCTATTATTACTGTCAATTGCTGTGTCTTATTTCGATTTTTTAATTCGTGTTTTTTTGTCGACATAATACCCGATTTGAGTAGTTGGCAAAAGCGTATCATGATAGAAATCTACCCGTAGGCGTTCGTCGATGCGCTTTTGTCATTGATTCGATTGGATGAGCGCGATTTTTGACATATCTGTTAAATTGACTGAAGCTAGAATGCACCAGGATATCCCAATGATCATTTTTTGGGATTTGATATATCTCATATTGATTGTGGTCAGATTGGATGGGGATTACTGAGATCCGTATCCATTTTATAAATACACGTGTTTAATGTAAATGCATATTCATTTTGTATTATCTTCCGCAAATGTTATTCGCAATTCATTTCAACGTAATGACAATTTTTTTTAGAAGATTGTTGGAATTTCAATCATATTCATTAGGATATATTTGGAATATATTCATTGATGATATGTTCAAATTGCA